AATTTTACACCTGAAGATGGTTCGATGAAACCGAAACATGTTGTAAAAATGTTCCAAATGTAAATCGATTATTCGATGTGGAACATAAAATGATAATTTAATTATCTTATTTGTAAATTTTAAATTTTAAATATAATTGTGTTTAGACGGACAAAACCGAATAATTAATTTAATATTTGATTCACGATATGAAGCAATTATACTATCGTATAAATTGACTTCATTTATAACCACGAGGCTCCAAAGTCTGCCCCATGTCTGGATGAAATAAATACAGATAGTAGCACTCGCAACACGCAAGCGCGAGTGGAACTACCATATCAACAATTACTGAAGGAAAAAAAGCCTTGCTCTCCTTATCACGTGACTACTTGTGTTTTGTATAAAACTCAGCGGTTGTGAGCGAACTTTGTACTCTCTTGGCCACAGAATGAAGGCGTGCGTGATTTTCTTCGCTACTATAATGTTGTTGCAGCTCCTACCACAGGTAATCCACGTCATATTACAGCAGACTCACGATTATAACTAAATTTAAAAATTAATTTATATAATTATAATAAACTCTAGAACGTTCAAAAATAAATGCAGATGCTATGAAATTTAATTTAACAAACACAAAATAAATATTTGAAGTGAAATCACCAAGTCCCATATTCTAACAGGTCAGAAATTTCTTTAACTGTAATTGGGGAGAAAATTCACCCCCTCCCCCCCCAATAAAAGTTTATAAAGACCTTTTAGATGCACTCTAAATACAGTAAAGAGATTAAACATTTTTACGTCTGTATCACGTAAGTGTAATATAATATTAAAAAAATCTTAAATTGTAATAATAATTTGTAGGTACATATAAAATTAATCAAACTTCCCTTTTATAATGATATCCTAAAAATAAAACGTAAAGTCTGTTAGGTTAGGTTGAAGGTTTGTAATGTAGAATACAACGTTAAAACGCCAAATTAAAGAAAATAAACTAGTTTTTTTTCAAATTAACATGTTTTACCAGAATTTGCATTACACTTATTTTCGCAGTAAAGTATCACATTTAATAAATTTTGCCATTAACAAACCCTGACTGTTATTTTCATTATGAAACCTAAAAGTTGTGTTCAAAATCTACTGTTTTGTACAAAATTCAACGTGACATTGTTTCTTGTTTCAGGATGTGCGAGCGGCAATAGGTAAGCATTTTCAAAAAAAATAAACGATATTATTCTCAATATGACCGGACTGTGACCTTCTAAAGCCATAAGCTATGTCAACTTTAAGAGACCCCAAGGTCTAAATATATATTCATTATTATTATTATTACTACAGAGAACATTTCAAAATAAACATGAATCTGGCGTCAATATAAACATTGTTATTCAAAGATGACTGTGTAAATTTAAGCTGGACATTGTCCACAAAATAGATTACTTTCAATATTAAATTATTTGGAACAATTTTAGACCAGCCACATCTTTAAATTCTGAGCCTACTGAAACCTCAAGTCCGGCACTCAACTTAAGCAAATAATAAAAGACCTCTATGTAATTTCGTACAGTACATCAATGTTCAAACAAAAAGAAAATATAATTTAAAGTATTTCTGCTTCAATAAGGATAAGTTGATATAATTGCGTCATATTGTGAATTAAAATTTAATTATTCGTGTTTTTTTCCCGTCTAATCACAATTGTACCAAATATGTAAATGATATTTTAATATCTTATGTATAAATTTTATTTATATACAATTGTGATTAGACAAAAAAACACGAATAATTCAATAAGGATGTTTAATTGAAGGAACTTTTGTCGTGACGTACCACATTTATAATACGATATGGCAAACTATTGTAGATTTTAAAAACAGTACATCAATTCTTTGTCATTACAACTGAAATTCACAAAACTATAAGCTGTTACTAAATGAGGTCAAATTTTTATGTTGCAGTACTTATAATATTAATTCAAATCAATTTTAAACCAGTAGTAAAAATATGCCAAATTTACTTCAACAATAAATAACAATTCATTTTGAAATTTGTGGATTTCGTACTCTTTTCGCTGTAAAGTAGAATTATTTCCCTTAAACAACATGAATCAAATAATATTTGTAATGGTGAAGTGTTGTTTTCTTTGCGGTACGGACTGAATTCTTAAATATAATTTACATTAGCTTCGGCTTCATGTGGTTAAAATACATTTAAGAAATATGATTTATGATGTATTCTTGGTCGGCTTGCAGCGTTAAAAGGCGTGCGATGTCCAAAGGACCCGCCTGAAGGTCCCGGGTGCGAACCTGCCTGCGCTGCAAGAAACTACTCAGGTGGAATCTGCGGGGCCTTCAATCTCTGCAGCTGCATTAAACCAAATTAGCTTCTGCCGAATCTTAGTGAAAATGTACAACGCACAGTCGAAAGCACGTTCACGGGTTGACCATTATATTTCGTGGACATCGAAAAATTTACACTTAAAATGACAAAGATTTCCGCACACCATAATCCGATGTTGAAATAAGCACGATATTACTAAGGTTTTCAAGTGCATTCAGTGTGAACTGCACAATAATGTTTGCCTTCTTTATCCCTAGTCTATGGTTTGTTTAAATGTGATGTTTATATTTCATTTACTTACTCTGATAACACACTTGATAAAGCTACTTTAATGAAGAATCAACTAATCTTCACGTAGCAGTTCAATAAATATTAAAACAGGCTTAGGTTTACATTCATACCTAAGGAATTTTGTTAAAAAATGGTTTAGCGTAATTATAAATTGTACTACGGCAGGCTTTGCTATGACCCAAAGGTGTATAAGAGCAGTGATACAATATTAACATTCTAAGTTAAATTATAATAATAAAAATTTGACACCAAAAATTTACAATGCAGTTCAATCTTTGATATTCAAAACCTACTGTGTTTTTTTTTTTACGAAAATAGCTTCAAGAGTACTCAGTATTCAACTCAAAATTTGGCGTTTCAAGTTCCTTTCTCCTTTCCCATCTCCTGTAATAGCACACATTTTGAATTGAAAGATGTTAGAAAACCACATTTGTCCTTAATATGAGCAGGCAGTTTTGTTACGATCGTATTTGTAATTAAGATATAAAACATTCTGTGTATTTCAACTGTAATGGTTGCAATTCAAAATCTTTTGTTTTCACAACATCTGTCTAAGAATTCAAAGACTAAGATATACAAAATAATTTTAACCTTTTACTTTGCATGTGTATGAAATTTGTCTGTAAAAAAAACAGTGGTTACTGTTTTTTTCTTCAAATTTTCAAATTGGTAATTATTTACTCAAAAAGTGTAGCGTAACTGAAAAAAATTCCAGGAGTTATTTAAACAGGTATATGTTTTACATTTTGAAAAACTTAAATTATAACAAGGTCTTATGTAATTTGGTATTTTATCACGTGAATGACAAATTACGTCAGTTTCATTTAGGTACATCCATTAATTCTGAAGTTTGTTTTGTTATCAATTAATTCTTGCGTGTCTTCAAAACAACTAAGCAAATACCTCGTCATTTTACATGTCATACCAAAACCACAGTCAAACGAAACTTCACTCAAATAAAAAATTCAGGTGCCACAGAATTACGAAAAAATTTCAAAATTTGACTCAGCGTAACCCATATGAAGCGAAGTCTGACCACAGATAAACGGAAATTGTTATCATATGTAACTAAAAGGAAAAGAATAATTTAAATAAACTGTCAGTTAAATTATCTAATTTTTTTTTCGAACTGTGTTGGCTGGAATCATCCAAGGACAAGTATTCCTGTCAAATACAAACCGAGTTATGTTCGACCATCTACAAAAGGTCTTCATGGCTTCTCCACTGCCACTTTTACTAACAATAACATTTATACCACGTACTTCTGTCTTGTCATTTAGATTATAAATATGTGGGACAGTGTACTTAGCGATGAAGTTCGTATATGAAAGAGAACATTTTTGAAATTCCATAGTATTTCATTACAATAAAGTATTATTCTAGGCTATTATAGGTTTCCAAGTCTACTAAGCCAACATTCAAATCACACCACAAAATATCGACATAAATATCATCACCGCTTTGAAGTTAAATCCCATCTAAGAACTGTAAACAAATTCAATAGCGCAACAACCCAGAAGACAGAAATCTTCATACTCATCATCGTCCTGATGACGGAGGCAGTATGACCTCTGAAACGTTGGTTAACATCGACCAGACTACACAGCGCAACAACCCAGAAGACGGAAATCTTCATACTCTGATGACGGAGGCAGTATGACCTCTGAAACGTTGGTTAACATCGACCAGACTACACAGCGCAACAACCCAGAAGACGGAAATCTTCATACTCATCGCAGTGAGAACCTCAAGTCTTACAAATTCAATTTGTACCTCAAAAGTAAATAAATCATGTCTCTGTTACAAATATCGGTTAGTTAATAATCGCTGTTTATTCCAATAATCATACAAAACCCAGAGTTACACTCTGCTGTCAAATTCATAGTTATTTAATTATAAATCGGGTGGGATATTTGTAAGAATTCAAAATATCCAAACTACTGATTCACTGTTCTCGTTCGGTTCTAGTGCGTTATTTCTCCTCTACTAAAAAGAAATATTATTATATTTCATTAACGTGTTATATATTTCTTTCTTTAATTTTTATCTTAAACACCTCGAATTTTTTCCACAGTTGTCTCTGGCATCTGTAAAAAAAAAATATTCTTGAATTTTCGTTTAAAATGAGTTCCCTGTTTGTGCCACTCACTTGTACCAGTTTTGCTCGCAACAATATTCTATCCGCGTAGACGAAGCTAAATCATTCACTGCTTACGTTTTATCTTATAATAAGCTAGCTTAGCTAATGCAAAGTAATATGATAATTAAAGACACATTTTCTTTAACTAATATAAGCAAAAGTAACCTTCATAAGTAGAAGTCTGTCACGACAAAATATTTGAAAGAGTCGTGGACGTTATCCATAATCGACTTATGTGAAAATAAAGGGCATGAAACGTGGTTTAAAATCCATAATAAAATCTTAAGGTAACAGATTATATTAACACAGGAATAACAAAACATAAAAATGAATTTATTTGCATTGATTATCGCCAAGTGCTGACAAATTTTATTAAATTCTGTCAGGCCACATCTGAAACGTAATCACAATTGTAAATAGTAAATTTAAAGACCAACGGAGTAAGATAATTGGGAGTATAAAACTTAAGTATTAAAGGAAAACATAGCTCGATAATACTTTATAAATTCCGCACTGACAAACACGTGATTAAACCCAGAACTTCGTAATAAAAAGCTACTAACAGCTTGAGCCACCGCGTATTATTACGCTTATTTAGAATCACCGAAATAAGAACGAGTTGGTGAATTGACCTCTACTTCGACGTAGGAATGTTAACAAAATGTAAGATATCTCACCGCTCTTTGAATCTATGGTCTATATCAGTAGTATTCAACCTGGGGTACGCGAAGACATCTTAGGGGGTACGTGAAATTTTTAAAAATATATATTATTTTATGATAAACACTGAATAATCGGTAATGTAATTTATTTAATTTATTTTAGATGTAGATTATATACTATGTATAACTTGAATTATACACCAACAACTTTGGGGTGACAAAGTTGAAGAGAAATTATATCTGGGGGGTACGCGAACAAAAAATTTTGAATAGCACTGCTCTATATCACTTCACATTTAAAGCTAATGATACTTTAGATTAAAAGATTTTTAATAACAAATAATACGCTAAACGACATAGCACTAAAGAAAGGAAGAAATACACTTGTCAGGCAAGTGTTTCTACCAGACTACAGGGTAGCCATCTTCAAAACAAAATTAGTTAACTCATAAAGAGTACTGCAAGTCGTATGTGACGGTAAGTATTTTGTTACGCCCCTTGTGAGGACTTGTATGTCGCTGGGGGTCCCTTCAACAGTAGGAACGTCCATCAGAAGGCGAGGAGACTCTCTCGTAATTGAGGACATTACTCAAATTCTCCTGTTTCACGTACAACACGTAAGGTCACAGTGGCTTGGAATATCACACCAAGAGTTACAAATTTAAGGGAAACAAACTAGATATTGTACAGCCAGTCCCTGTGAGACCGTGTACGGGAACCCTGGACAGAAATCAATTTATCAATTTTAATTAAACCGTTTGCTACCTAAAGCATTCATATAGCCAAAGTATCAGCGTTTGTAATTTGACGATCACAGAAGAGAATGTCATGACCTTCATTTTTCAAAATCGTGACGATGACCGAAGTCAACAAAATGTATCCCCCCCCCACGTTTTTCTCCCCATAAATTTTCACGTTTAATGGCTCTGTTAGGATTTGTGATAAATTTTCAAATATGTGAACGAGAGTACAAAAATAACGAATGCATTCACGAAAGATTTAGCACAGAATAAGTCTCAGGGACGCTATCATTTCTGGTACGCATAATAAAACCTCTGGTTTTATACAAGAGTGAAATAATTTTATACGGAATGTTAAACTTTTCATCTAAATTCGCTAATTTACTAAGTGCCAAAGCTGACGTATGTAATTGTTTAGTTTATTAAAATATATTTACTCAATTCACTGAACGTGTGTATACATACATTTTTGGGACATTCTGTACGTAACGCGATAAGACGTATTTAACGCATCGCATCTTTCGTAATTAAACAAAAATAAGTAACTATTTTAATGTATATATATATAGTGATTTGTTGTACTTTTTCAATAAAACGTGTGTTTAAGTAATAATTTTGATTTTTCGTTCATTCTTTATGGACAAATTTTCTAGCCTAACAATACGCAAGAATTTTTTTAAAGTTAATCACAGTCCATGGCGCAGTGCAAGAAACCATATAGAAATGGTTTAATCTCAACAAGCAAACACACTAGTTTTGTAATAAAACCTGACTTTACCAAGCAAATAACAAATGGACCAAGTTTAAATGAACCCTGCTTGAATATTTGCCACAATGTCCACTTCTGGTAATGAGAAGGGACACAGGTGGTACATACAAATGCTTGTCTTGACACATTCATAAAATTTCCATGCCTCTCCATACTCTGAAAATTATCTGCGAAGTACACTGACTGATTAAAACCTCTCTTGGATATATAAATATATACGAATGATTGCTTATTGTACCCCTGAAAAGCATGTCTGGTACCCCAAGGGGTACTCAAGCCACAGTTTGGTAACCGCTGTTCTTTCTAGAGACGAACAAAGAACATTATTATAAAGCACGTGTATTTAACATTAATCTGCGAAAAAAGAGTAATGTAGGAAAAGCTTTCTAATAATAGGATAACAAATATTAATTGAATTTATTTCGTTCATAATTTATTTTTGGTGTTATTACCCGTTAGAATATGATCATATACTTTTCTTTAGATGTTTTTATTACGAGATAAGTTTATTTGCCTACCCAGGTATTTTTTTTAGTTTAAGGAGAGATAATTCTGTATACACTGTTGCCAACCAATTCAAACTTTGTATATAAGATAGGCTTTCGAATCAGGTCGTCAAACAATATAAGAGGGCGGGGGATTAAACTTTAAGCCCTGAGAAGTGGTCACGTTCTATTTTCATGGTAAAACTTTCGCAGAATTAAAATTCTTCTTCTGTCATGTCATACAATCATCCACAATCTCCGGTACTTTTCTTTCCCGTCAGGACTGACTCATACATTAAAACATTATACTTTACATTTTACATAATACATTACATGAATCTCGTCATTGTTTCGGGACTGTGGAAAAAGTACGAACAATGTTTAATTCCAAAAGAAAAATAATTTACGACAATGAGATGACCAGAATTAATGTAATAACTAAACTTAACCACATTGTTGACATCGGAATTAGATAC